ATAAATATTTTATCTATATGTTATATTTATTTATTTTAATTAGTTTTCTAAGTGATATTAAATGTAATAAGTATTTCGTTTACTAATGAGAGAGTTAATAATAAGTATCTAATTATGTACATTGATTATAATCTTATTTATATATTAATTTCAATTTCATTTACCCGTCCCTACACACACACACACATATCTATATAAGATAAAGATTATATCAATGGATAGACAACGTTAACCATAATTCAATATTTTGGAATTCTCAATCCATATTGTGTCATATCATGTCTTTTGGTTCTTACTTTCATATATACAAAGATATAAGATAAACAAAACAAATGAAATAAGCGTATTGTATTAATTGTATAACAAAATAGAATATCAAATCAACACAAAGAAAAGTGTAACTAGAATTAACTATTTAATCCAAAATGAATTAAAAGTAATCATAAATAAATAAACCATGTAAATAAAAAGTTGTCATCATTTTCTTTATATAATCACCCTCAATGTTTCAACATGTCATCTTTTTGTCAAAGTGAGAGATGGATAAAGTTAACTACAATTCAATATTTTGTAATCCTCAATCCACATTGTGTCATATCATGTCTTTTGGTTCTTAATTATAGATTATATATTTATAGATATAAAGGTTTAAAGGTTTATTAGATCATTATATGTAACTTATATATAAAGTAAATGAAAGGTTTATTCATTTAATTATATGTTTTAATTTAAAATAATTCAAAAATTGGAAAAAAATAGCAACCAATGATTCTAGCTCTCTCAAAATGCCACATCATCTTTTGATGATTCTCCTTTATATATAGATATAGATAGTTTATATGTGAACAACTTAAATAGTTCATATGGGAATTAAACCAACACCACCAAGCACCGACTCAAGAGAAACCTATCAAAACACCGAACCAATTGCCGAAAAACAACAGGTCAAATCGCAATTCTATATATATAGTTCATATATGAATTATTCGGGTTTACTTATGCACATAAATAGTTTCATATGTGAATCAATTAGATAGTTCATATGTGAATCATCCGGATCCACATATGAACATAACAACGAAAAGATGAACTAAATCAGTTTCATTTATGTATTACTATTTCATTTGTGATTGTTTAATAAAAGGACCCAAAACAATTGATATCATATGAGAACATATAATTTTCATATGTGAATCAGTTAAGTAGTTCACCTGTGAATTATACGGGTTCACATATGCGCATATTATTAGTTGTTTGCCACATATTATTGTTGTAGTTGTAAAAGGTATGAAACTATCCATTTATCTTCTGCATAATTGTTACCATCCAACCGAATTATCTGGTATTTTACAATTAGCCTATCAAATATTGACCGTTAATTTTTTTTAGTGGAAAGGATATGATGGCTTCTCTCTTTCTCATACATTATGGCTTTTGTGGCTAGGCATATTGCAATCAAGGTTTGCAATAGTAGCAATATCTGCACGATTATGGAGAAATGAAATATTGCATAATATAATAACTTCGTGCATCATTATGCATAATATGATCATAGAAGATGAACGCAAATACGTGATATTAATGCAACAATTGAGGAACGAAGTGAAGTGCAAGACATGGGAGTTGAGATGATGAATGATAACAATGGTGGACTTGAACAATTTCTTGCTCGACACAAAAAGATCAATGATAAAGACGCTCACTTTGAATTTCGTAATGCATTAATTAATCATTTGTGGGATAAATATACTAACTCGGAGAATTAGTATTATTTATGTGTTTTTTTAATTTGTGCTATTTGAATTAATGTAATATTTTTTAATGTAACAATTTATTAATTAAAAAATTGTCGTTTTTATTTTAACAGGCCTTCATTAAGTAAATTAATTGCTAATTATTTATTATTATAATATCTATTACATATTATAATTATTGTTATTAAAAATAGTAGATAAAATATGTTATTTTAATGTGGGGTTTATAAATTTGGTGTTTTTTTATAGTGTGATCCGAGTTGAGTCTCTTTTTAGTGTTGATAGCCCCACCATATTTGATGTTTTTGGTGTTTTTTTTATGATATAGTTAGAGATGCTCTTATATAAAATATTGTACTATTGGAATCAAACCAAGCATGAGCGGGTGTTAAAAACTTTCATTTTGATACTTAAGATGTAAAGTTTTAAACATTTAAGTATTTGGGTATCGATCGATCGTGTTAGAACTATTATTAAAA